AATTTGATACAATTTTGTATACGTTTCTATCGCTTTAATAAAGAGGAAATAAAATGTGAACATAAAGTGTCATTATCACGACACCAGTTAGTGATTTTGAGGTGAAGGATGAAATTACAGTCGACAATGAACAGGCACGATCAAGATTCGCATAGAAGGACTCTCATAGAGAAGGGAGGAAGAGAGAATCGCAGGATTAGATATTACTCGGTGCCAGGGTCGCTCGCCAACTGGCTTTGATATATTACCGAGTGATAATCCTATCTGTGCACAAAGCCAGGACACAATGATACAACCAAAGCAACTGGATGCCATGTCAACTCCATTGCACTTACAATATGTATCCAGCTGCCTGCCAGTGAGAGCACGAGTTGTGTCTAAGATGCTTATAGAGTATAGAAGTAAACACTGTACTACACACACTAACGTCTGACAAGACCGAAGATGGAAATCCGTGTTAACGAAGAACGGTCAGCAACTTTGTCAGGAATAATGCGATACAATATTATCTCTAGCAATGCGTAAATATGATAAAAATGTAATAACGTGAATACAGTAATATAACGTAAATAGTAATCCTATAGACTTTCAGTATTGTACGTCCTAAAATGAAGAAAACTATCGTTATATCGATTGCTTCTTATTTTATTTTTTTAAATAACTATCAGTAATTGTATGCAACAGTGCAAGTTAATAAACAAATAATATATAAAATTTTACATTTTGTTGACCAAAATAAAATATTTCAAAAACATTGAAATACAAATTAGCCGTATATATTTTTCTAGTACAACATTACTCTATTAATCATTTATTATGAGTTTTCATTTCTACAATAGTTAACTGTGGATTGGCTCGAGAAAGAAAATTAAAAATATGAAATATAAAGTTTTATAAAAAACATTTTATATTCTATTTTGTGCCATATATTATTATTTATATGTACAGATATTGTAAAATTATATTTTCTGAATAACATTTTCGAGAGTCAAAAACATCCACTTAAACGATAATATGGTGTATTTTATGATACAGAAATAAAATTTAAATATATACGTGGAAAAAAAAAGAACACGCTTCAATTTACATTTTATCTTTTTACTTTTTGATAATTTTATTACAATTTGTAATCATATTTAAATTGAATCAAAAAAATTCTAAATTTTGTTTTTGATGAGCTTGTTTTCTCCAAATGCATATTGTGTGATGAAATTTTAAATAAAAAACATACATAAAAAATTAGTTTCCTAATTAAAAGCATTAAAAATGATAGATCTAAGACACAAAAAAACATATATCAGAAAGAAAATTTAAAAAATTTCGTTATTTAAGTAAGTTACATACGCTAATAAACTTATTATAACACAATTTAAATTATTGTATTAATTTAGTTCTGTTATTATTATAAATTTATGTTGTCATTTATTCTCAAATTATATCACGACGTTAGATCTTAAATATAGATTCGAAATATGTGATGCAAAAGGGTGATTATACGTGAACAAAAATTCAAAATAATACGAGTAGAATAAATCTATACATCTTGAGAAAAATAGCTTGGAAAAGTAATGAAGCATTTATGTGCTTGATTAAAATTTCACTTCTAACAATTAAATTTTGCTATAAATCATCATAAATTAATTATGAATCTATACATGCGTGCTTGTATAGTATGATTCAGTTCTCTAATCTCTGTTTACGTTATTTTGTTGAATTGACAGAACGATCGATATGGAAAGTTCTCTCAATTCATTTCATCGCACAAACCTGCATCTCAAAGCGATCAAAAGACGAACGCGCGTGGGCAACAATGTAGCTCGAATTAATCTAGACCCACCTTGGAAAAGAGATTGTCGAGAGCATGCTGTGACCAACTGGAGAAAAAAAAAAGAAAAAGAGAAAAAAAGTCGGAGTTCTCGATATACGTACCGATGTATATAGTCGTTCGCGGAGCGCCTCGAGGCCACCCGACGAAATTGCATTCGGAATTTCAATATAGCGCATATCATATTTCAACCTTAAAACGCCGCTAGCGTTGTCCGAGTATTACTTTGAGGTTCCTATGTCCGTAGAAACCGACTTTGTCCACCGATTATAGAGATTCCGACTGCGGTAAGGTATACGGATTTGAAATACGAGGGGAAAAAACCGAGAGATGCGCATCCCCCAAGTACTGTCTCTCTCTCTCTCTCTCTCTCTCTCTCTTCCTCTCATTCATTTCTCTCCTCTAACACGATCTTTTCATCAGAGAGGAACCAGCCTGTAGGGAACATTAGATGGTTTTCGCTCGGAATAAATAATCAAAAGGTAATTCCGGATTAAAGCTGGCCTGGTGACTTACTCGCGCTTGTATGCTCGATTGTGATTCAGATGTTGCTCTTTTACAAAGCTATTTAATAAAATTTTCAGAAAAGTCGGTGATGCTATTAATGTATATTCGCCGGAAGGCGTGTGTTCTCTCAGTTTTAGATTTTTCCTCAGATTTGGAGATGATTCTGGCTTAGTGAAACGTTAAGAAGATCGAATTATCTCTGAGCTTAAAGTTTGTTTACAGGAAATGGAAATTTATATTCTGTTTAGTAAGTTTTAAATTGTTTATTATACAAACTCTGAAAACTTTATTAGTTACTATTTAACGTTGCTGAGAATGAGTTTTATTTGTTTTCTTTGATTCTCTATAGTACTAAGCCCTTTTCCTAAAAGAATAGATATTTCACTATATAATTTACTATCATCAAAAATATTATAGAGGAAAATATTTAATGTTAAAAATTAAAAAGAATTATATGTTAATAATGAGAATAATAATAGTACAAATTTTTGTTACAAATTGATTCTAAACTTATTAAGTTTTAATGAAGTGTTATTTTTATATTATTTTTTATGTTATTTTATACCACATTATATTACTTTATATTGATTTACGAATTAATTACAATAAATTATTATTATTAAATGTATTTTTGTTTCTTTTTTCATATACACATATGTATATAATAAATAATTATAAAATCTTATAAAAAAAGTAGTACAATTTTAGATATAATTAATGAGATATATTGGAGAAAAAGATTCTCTGAGATAAAATACTATTCTCAGCTATATAAAAAATATAATTATTAGTAGCAATGACATGCTGGGTTATGAACCGATTATACTTTTAAAGTGTGTTCTTCTTTTTCTTTCGTCGTGTATGTTGGAGAAAAGGAATAATTATCTCGCGGTTCAAATCGGAGAAGAGAAAGACGAGAAAAATTAATGTCAGTTCGTTAGGATGGTATTCACATCACAGAATTTAATTACCAGTATGAGTAAAAGTTAATGGTATCTACGAGAAAAATGTCGATTTAACGAGAAGGCACAATCGTATCGCTATCGTAACGATGTTCGTCGTTAGATGAGATAACCTTTCAAAAAACTTTCACGTATACGACGATCTCTAGAAACAATGATAATGGTCAAATTATATTTTTTGTTGATATTTGTTTTGTAGATATTTGTTTTGTTTTTATTCTTTTTTTATTAATGAAAGGTATCATAAACGAGTTCCAAAGCAATCTTCCGCCAAGTACTCGGCGGAGCGCCGAGACAATTTTCTTCTAAAGTTTACCCGCTTGCGCTTATCGAGAGAGGAGTTTGCACGAGCAAAAAATTCTTATTATGACTTATCCACGATCGTCTACTCTGACCGAGATACTTTGGATAAACCAAGATGAGCTAGAATCGACGATGACGAAATTGGATAACTGCGATGTTGTAATTGAAGGAAATGCAACTTGAGAATGCGGATTTCCTTTAAAATAGCAATGCTGTTCTTTTTATCCTATAAAGATTATATGTATAAAAGGATGGAAGCAAATTTGATATGCTAGCTCGAGAGAAATAAAAAACTCGCGATATTCGATAGATGTTTGGTACGGTGATTTATCGTCATAGTCATTGGAAAAGAAGAGAGGGTATTGTCATGAAAGGGCATTTGATGCAATCTGAACGAAACCGACCATGCCATAGGTAATAAAAACATTTATTCGCTAAATGAAATTGGGAGTGAATGGGAGAGATTGACAGGGGTTTATGCATCGAGCCAGTGCAAGATCCCGGCGGATTGTGAGATCCTGGCTCAGAACGTTTCGCTAATACCAAGTCGTTTATCACAACTGGCGAATGGAGAGCTCGTGAGATCGCGAGATCGTCCGACAAGCTGCACGCGGTGTTACGCTACTAAGTTTACCTGAGTTACGGTGATTAATCGATAATAGGTTCCATATGATACGGACGGTACGTTGTCGATGTGCGAAACGACCTTAATCACATTAGTTGATGGTGACATGATCGATATATTATGATGGGACAGGTCATTCCGTTTCGTTCAGCTTAACATTACGGTACACGGCCCCTGGCGTTCACGTCATGCTTATCTTGCTCGCGTATCTGCTATTACGCTCGCATCTACATATACATTATCATAATAGAAGCGAGCTGACTAATTAATCGATCCATGTGCCACCTCCCAATTTCAACTTGCGCAGACAAACTGACACTGTCCGTTTCATATTTATGGTCGTAGGATGAATTATAAAACGAGTTATTCTGATACCTACACAGATAATTATCAATATATTTATATTTATACTTTGCTAAAAAAATCTGTCTGCTTTATGCAGTAAATATAATGATACTGTAAACATAAAATATAAGAGTAAAATATACAAAAATGAATGCATGTTTGTTACATTTGCTCGAATAAATAAATTTGAAAATAGGAGGTGAAAGTTATATATGGAAAAGTATTATATATAATCGGAAAGATAATTATGTTTGGCTACTGATATAACTTTTTTTGTCCTTATGTCTTTTATTGAAAAAATTGCTAAATGACTTGGATGACTGAAAATAGAATGCCGGCGATATATTTTTTGATATAAAAAATTCCATATTTTCGCATTTTAACAACAATTCTTACTGATCGCATTTATATAATACCTTGACGTTTGTTACAGTGTGCCATCTACTGCGAGGCGGCGTGGCAGCGATTTTTGGACCGCAGAGCGCACATACGGCATCTCACGTGCAGAGCATTTGCGACACCATGGAAATTCCGCATTTGGAGACACGTTGGGACTATCGGCTTAGACGGCAGAGCTGCCTCGTCAACCTCTATCCTCATCCTACCACTTTGTCCAAGGTACGTATACACAAACTTTAGCCAGAATAATAGCCTCATTAAAGCCGGCACTCATCGCGCAAAATCTGCCTTCGTGACCTTTCTCTTCACGGATTTCTTGCCTCTCATAGCTGTTTTACCTCTACCTTCATCGACGAGCAAACATGGCCCTTTTAAATTGTGGGATTAACGGTTGTCGCTCTAATCAAGGTAATTTCAACATTTCGTGCTTCTCATTTTACGTTGCACTGTAATTATAATTGGAGTAGCGGAAAAAATGAATGAAGTCTAGAAAAACATCAAATTTTTAATAGAAAGAGA